GTTCTAAACCATTTATTTTGGCCAAGGGCTTTTCTTTCTCATGCTTTAAAAATTTATAGCCTTTTTGCTCATATCAATGCAATTGCTTTGACTGAGCATTTGCAGTGTTCAAGGTATTTGATGCTGGTATAGATTAGGTGTATGGCAAATTAACACATTTTTACCATACTTCAAGGCCCTAAGGTATGGAGTAAACTTTCTAGCATCCAAAGGCAACTTAAGTATAACACTACACCTTCTCGAGCTGAGTCTTTTTCATTTTTAGTAATTTTTCATTTAGTAATATGGCTGCACTATACCTCGTAGATCTAAGTCACTAGAATTTAAAATTCTAGTGACTTAGATCTACGAGGTATAGTGCAGCCATATTTAGCTTGACCCCAACTCCATATTTTACAGAAGGGGAGTAGTTTGTCAACCTTCTCAGGTGTTAGGGACAGTTTCTCTAGTATTGTATATCGGTCACTTTGATTATTACTACACCACAAACATGATTGTTGATGATGATCATATATACTGCAACTTCATATAATCTTTCGAAGGCAAAGTCGCAACTTGGGTAGATTCTCTTCTCCTAGAAAACTGAATAGGCTTCCAGACACTACTTGCTTCTTTTAGAGAATGTTTCATTGAAAAAAGACCCATAAATTAGCTACTTATTGATCTCTTTTCATTCCGGCAAAGTGCTCATGAGTTTGTCAACTACATCACCAAGTTTTAAGCGTACTAAAAACAGTGTTAGGATTGTAGAGTGGTCCAAGATGAGCAGCAAGGGATCATAACATTCACAGCAAGTCTGCGTTGGAACTTGCAGTAGAGAAGTTAAGTCTTGCTGCAAGGCATTTTCATTTACCACGAAGTTGAAAAGAGAGACTTGTTGACCTAAAGATTGCTAGAGTTGATTTCAACCAAGCCATCACCCCATTAGAGTTGCCTTCTGCAACTGTTCACCCATCACTACCAAAGTTTATCACCATTGAACACACACTTCCAGTTATTGAGAATTTTGCTAATGAGATGCGGTAGATGAAGGAGATCATTCTTCACCAATAGTCACACCATGACAAGTTGCTCCAAGAGCTTGTAGAATCCAGGAAAGAGGCTACTACAGCTTGGGAACATCAATTCAAGTCCTGCTAATGCACTCACTACGAAACAAACATCACCCTAGGCTGAAGTGATGGTGTACCATTTGGCCTCAGGTGCATTGGAAGGAGAGAGGAGCTTCATTATAATTCCCAGCAGGAAGAAAGCAACAAAGAAAGTAGATGCTAGAGGTATGAAGGGCAGGGCAAAACAAGATAATAACAGGGATTAGAAGAAAGCAGTAGTAAAGAAAGTGGACGTTGGAGGTGATAAATTCATGATAGAGCAAAAGGATCACAGCAGGGATGGGAAGAAAGTGGTGAAGAAAACAGTAATTTCACTCATCAATGAGAACAATGCAATAAAGGAAATAGGCATTACTAGGCTGGATTAATTGCAAGAGTGTGGAGGAAGCAGTGCTTCAAAACATGCTGTGCACCACAGCGTGTTGGTGTTCTCGGGATGATCTGCAAACCCGTGTGCATGACATGCAGGAGCTCCTTGATTGCCTCGTTGCCTCCCCTCTAAAACCGAATCGGCCCTGCTATACGGCCCCCAGCCATGTTAACACGGGCCATGTTCATTGACTTGGTCAATGCTCCAAAACACGGCTCCAAACACGGTTGAAACACGGTCAAATACTGTGTGACCACGCCGTGTTCTAAAACAATAGCTCACGTGGTTTACGTGAGCGTTTTGCGCTTTGATGTTTTCTTGTCTTGCGATCAATCAAAAATTCCTACAATCAATCAAAAGGTTTTTCCAGCGATCTATGGCGATTTTCTTGGGCTGGGAATGCCCTCTCTAGGATTCTAGCGCTGGAGTGGGAGGAATGGCGCTCAGCCACACCTGATTTCGCTGCAAAAAATTCTTGATCATTGTCTCCAGGTTTGTAGATTTTCTCTCCCAAATTTTCTCCTTGGATTGCTTCTGCCATAATTCTTAGCTGCTTGGCACTGCATCTTTGTAGATTGCTGTGATTCTTAGTTGCTTGGCATTGCGATTGTGTTATTGACGGCATGATTCTAAAATTTTGAGTTTTTCAAAATTTTTTTAGGCGCAGGGCGTGACCGATTGTGGATTGGAACAGGAGCAGGGTGTGGGATTTTAGAGGCTGAGCAATTGTGGATTGGAGCAGCAGCAGGGTGTGGGATTTTAGAGGTTGGACTAAGTGATTGTGGATTGGAGTAGAAGCAGGTGCAGGATTTTAGAGGTTGAGCTGAGTGATGGCATCTGGGAGCCAGAGTAGGAGGACTTCAACAGGGCGACATCCATCATCCGTTTGGTGGGAAGAGTGATCCTTGGTGATCAAACAAACTGCCGTAGTGGTGCATGCCGACGCTGAGTCTTGCAAGTGGTGTCGTTGAGAGACAAAGTTCAGGTGTGGATCGTGTGAGGGGACATCTCACAGGTGCAGGATGGTCATGAAATCTTAAGTTGTGATGTCATCTCAGCAGAGAAGAGACAACAGCTTAGGGAGATGGCTAAAACCATCGACGACCAGGTTTTGGCTGGAAAACACCAAAGCAAGAAACAAGCAGTTTCTACATGTGTCGAAGGCATCCAAAGCACTGGAGGAGAGAGTTTTGTTGCTTCCTAGAGTTCTACACCAGGTGGCAATTCTGTAGAAGGAATTTCCAGGTTTTTTTTGCAACGACAGTAGGGAATCCGGGATTCTTTTGATCCAAAAAGGAAGGAAGCAGTGGATATGGCTATAGGACAATTTTTTTGGAACGAGCACATACCATTTGTGAAAGCTCATTTTCACCATTTCAAGGAGATGGTGCAGCAGATTGCAAGGCATGGAATTCCCTACGATCTTCCAACAGAGACAGCATTGCGAGAGCAATTGTTGCAAGTGGAGAAAGCCAATCTTAAAGTTCAACTTGCCAAGGTGAAGGCATGTTGGAAGAATTGTGGGGTTACTCTTGTTGCTGATGCATGGAATGACACAAGAAATCGACATATCATGGGGCTTGTTGCATACAGCAGAGGACAGTCGACTTTTCTCGAGGCCATTGATATATCTTCTAGTGGGAAGACGGCTGATAACGTTTTTGCGACATGGGAGCGAGGTATCGAGATTGTTGGAGAGGAGAATGTTGTTCTTATTTTCACGGATGGTGAGGCTTCAAACAAGGCTGCTGCTAGGCTTCTAGAGGCGAGGAAGCCAAGGATTATGTGGGCTCCATGCTTAGCTCATTGTTTGAACAACATTCTCAAGGATTTCACAAAACTACCATGGATGGTTGGGCTGCTAAACAAGGGAAAGACTCTGGTTGGCTTCCTCCGGAACCATTTGCATCTAGTAGCGATTTTGGCATCCTTCTCTTCACGACGAGTGTTGAAGTTCAGCGAAACACGATTCGCCTTCAACTTTCTTATGATGGAGAGATTGGTGGAGCTGAGGCCAAAGCTACAACAAATGTTTGTGAGTGACACTTACAATGCAAGGCTAGAGTCAAGGACAGATTCTGGGATAGCATACTGAGGAATTGTGTTCAACAATACATACTAGAACGAGGTTAACCACATGCTGGGTGTTTCAAGGAGGGTGATGTATTTGCTACGGATGGTTGACGGAGACGTGCCTGTGATTGGGAAGGTCTACGAGGGGATGGATCAGATGAGAAAGAACATCTGTCAACAAGAGGAGAACAATCTTAGGTATGAGGAGCTAAACCAACTGATTTCAAATAGGTGGTGGGCTTATCATAGCACCTTTCACTCCGTGGCATACATGCTTAATCCAGAGTTTCAGGGGCGAGGACAGGAAAAATCCAGGGAAGTTTCCAAAGATTGGAACATGTACTTGGAGATCTAGTTCCCTGACTATCAGCAAAGGTCAACTATAAAAAATCAGCTTTGCCAATACAGGAACTTGGAGGGTAGTTTTGGCACTGGGGACTCTCAGATGGATCGTACAACAAAGGGTTCTGTGCAGTGGTGGGAGGACAATGGCTACTCAGGTCCAGATTTGCAGAGGTTGGCAATTTGAGTGCTTAGTCAGGCAAGTTCTTCCTCATCTGTGGAGCGATTGTTCAGCATTTTTGGGCACATCACTTCAAAGAAGAGGAATTGCTTAGCAGTGAGCTGGATTGCAGACTTGGTATTTGTGGCCAGTAATACCAAGTTAATAGGGAGCCACACTTCCTTTGACAAGTTTGTGGGATTGAGCCAAACAGGAAGTATTCCTCAAATTACTAATGCTGATATTGAAGCTATGGAAGAAGAGGATGAAGACGAAGATGATGATCCTGCTAATGAGGAGCTTCTAGATGAGATGGAGTGATAAGTAGAATATTCTAGAGAATATTCGTGTTTTCACCCGTGTTTATCCGTGTTCATTTCCATGTTTCGTGTTCATGTTCAAAAACTGAATGCCGTGTTCATGTTTGTGTGTTTTGAAGCTATGGGAGGAAGAGAATCTTGACAAGGCTCCTAGGTTGAGAGTGTGCTAGGCGTCTCAGGAGGGACCCTAGGGAATGTGACAAGAATGATGCAATACAGGACATCAGTTGGCGATGTTGCTGGATGAGATTAAGAAGCTGGCATTGGCATTCCCACAAGGCTGTGAATGAGCTTGTCCTCAATGAGTTCTTGCACCATTAACTCCTGGACCATGTTGTCAACCACTTGTCCTCCTCCTGATCAAGGCACACGAACACTCGTGTTGATGTAGGAGACCCTAGTTCCAAAACAATGTAGTGACGAATGCTTGTATGTTCGCTGGCCTCCATCGAAGCCATGTGCCATCGGAACACATAGTTCTCCTTGTGCTAAAAAAGGATGGATCCTGGAAGCTCTGCATAGACTACAGGCAGCTCAACAAACATATTGTGAAAGATAAGTATCCAATTCCTAGGGTGGAGGATCTTTTTGATGAATTAGGCCCACTCTGGCTATTATTAAATAGCACTCGCGGATGAGGACAAATCCAAGATAGCTTTTCATACACATTGGGGACTTTTTCACCTTTTGGCCTCGCCGCTTCGGGAAACTGGAAGACGAAGATAGTCAAGATCAAAGCAGCCAAGACAATGCCAACGATGCGATCCACTGGCGTGCCATCAACAGGTGACTTTCGCCAAAGAGATTTCATCTGCGCAGCCAATGATCCCAAAGCTCATCAGCTGTGGTGGCAGGAGACGAGAAGAAGATATGCAGCGATTGGTCCACCGGAGAGTCCGATACATTGCTTCCTTGATGCGAGGACCTGTTGTAGTTGTATCGTCTTGTAGAAATTTCCAGTCTTGAGAATGACATAAATCCCTTGTGATTGAATCAAGGGATAAAAATCTATTCGGCATAGTACAAGGAGGTCTCGATCTACATCTCAGGCAAGAACAAAAAAAGAACTTCCATATCAACAGCAAAGATTACTCTCTGTGATTTTTGGCTCTTTCTTTTGGGTTTTTTTTCTTTCTACTTTCAGGATGTGTCTGGAAAATTTGCCAGGGTACAGTCCTTGAATTCCATCAAAAACTCTAGGAAGCCTCGCTATGTCATTTTTTTTCTTGGAAGAAAAACTAAGCAAGGATAGATGGTTTCCATAGATTAAATTGCGGGTGTATTTATTCTGATCCATTTTTCTTACAGAATTCATATTTGGGAATTATACAGATTCACTCCCATTTTCAAAAGCAATTGAAGTTTGAAAATGTTAAGAAAGATTTTTAAGAGGTTTAAAACATTTTTTGCTACATGTTGCATGTAGCAACGCTTTGTTTTCTTATTCCTATTTATTAATTTAATTAATCGAATAAAATTTTATAATTATAAACATGTTTATAATGTATAAATATAAGATTAATCTTATTGCATATCAACCATTAGATGGTAGAATAAAAAAGAATATACTAGAAAGTGTTTAAGAAAGTTTATAAATTATAAATAAAAAATTAATCTAAATGAATAACAACCATTAGATGGTAGAATATCCTAGAATATCTAAGCATATTCTAAATATATCCACTACTATCAAGTTTGCTTAAGCAAACCAAAAAGTTAATGACAATAGAGTATTTTATTTAGCAAGTAATTATTTGATATTATAGAAATGTTGTATAGCAAGTGATTGATTCATACATAACCATACTCCCTTAATTATTATCAATATGACATTCTTTGTTTGATTCTTCTAAAATCTTTATTAAGCAGCTGTATGGCTTTATTTTTGTCTCCTAGGAAAAAAAACTGTATCAAAGCCTTAGAACCCTTACATAACAGGGTTAACATTCTGTTTCTCATTCTACTTTTGGGAAATATAAGCTGAACTTAATTTCCATATAAGATGAAAATGCAATTGAAAAAATTACTAGGGTGATTAACATTTAATTATCAATTATAACATTATAATTAATTTATAATTATAGAGTATAACTAGGACATGATCTTATATTTATTTGAGTAGAACATATATTAGACATTTTAGCTTCCATTATTACTGATACAATACAACAATAGACACTTTATATATTATTTCATGAAATTCATGATGCATGAAACACATAACATTATGATTGAAAATATAGTTTATCAAAAATATGTATTGTCCCAATATGAGGTAAATAAATAAATATTTATTTATTTATTTATTACGATATACGATATATTGGGTATATACGATATTACCCATATATATGTACGATACCCATCCTTTAGTATATAGGCTGCCTGGATGTATTCCATTTCCAGTATCCAGTATACTATACTATACTATATACAGTGGAAATGGAATACATCTAGTGGAAACGCTTTTGAACTGCCAATGTAGTGGCTGCTACACCTGGATGTCCAGCAAGAATTCCCTCATGACATTCCTGAAACACTTGCTTGCGGAAGTCCCCTTTGCTGCTCAGTAATATCCAGAAATGTGAGAGAAGTTCGTAGACATCCTGAAGTTGTCCAGTAACGGCTTCAGAGCCTCGTCTTCCTCATATTTACCATATAGGAAGATGATATTGGGCGTAAATAAATACGATATATTGGGTATATACTGGGTATTGGGTAATATCGGTAATATATTGTATACGATAGTACCCGATATTTATCGTATATATTGGGTAAATAAATTTATATATGGTAAATAAGAAAAGAGCATTAAAACGCATAAAGTGTGAAACTTTTCACATATTTGAATTTTTGTATAATTAATTTAAAATTAAGAAGCAAACTAAATCTGGATTAATAATTTCATAGAAATGTCAAGTATAATATAACATCTTTTATATTATGCAAGTGAGAAGTTGTTTAAGTATATTGGATAATACAAATACTAAACCATAACAATATTAAATGGTTTATGAGATTTTTGAAAAGATGTGATTAATAAATTTAATAGTATTAATAAAAGCTAAGAATTGAATAAATTTAATCCGATGGAAACTACCATTCTGCCACGTCATCGCACATTAGGGTTCTTACTTTTATTTTAGGGCTGGGCCCTGGCATTTCACATGGCGATGGCGATGGAGGGGAAAAGAGAACGACGCGGCAGATTGACTGGCTGGTGCTGCATCGGCATCCGCGCTGGGAACGGCAGTCACGGCATCAGCGTCAAGTAAGAAATCTGCCGCTTTTTTCCCTCTTTCTTTCCCCCTTTTTCTCTGTCTTCCACACTGGCTTGGCACCTAATTTCTATCTTTTCTAGTGGCGCCTTTGATGGCGCCCCCGCCAAGTCTAGCCAAGGACGCCGCGAAGCTATGCGCTGGTACTACACTCACAAACAGTCTCTTGGGTTTGGCCCCATTCTCTCCTTTCTTTCGTCTTTCTTGTCTTTCTTTCTTATATGCCTTTGGCTCCAGGAAGATTTACCAGATCTGTCAACTTCCGTGGACAGAGAGATCCCTCCGGCTGGGAATTCGAAGAGGGCGATGAATGGGAATTGGAGAATGAGGAGCCGGAGCTTGTAAAAGCCTGGATCCGGCAGGATGGTCTTTTTCAAGAGCTGCTTTCGAGCTAGAACCTCTGCCGACAGGTACTTCTGTTGTCGAGCTCTCTCGCGTTTTGGATTGGTGTTGGATACGAGGAAGCCAGAGTCCTTCATTTCTTACTTGATTGGATCTCTTTCACTTCCAGGTCGCAGGATGCCGGGTGGAGATTGTTTTCGCTCAAGGAGCTCCAGAACGCGAGCAACAATTTCAATTACGACAACAAACTCGGGGAGGGAAGGTTTGGCAGCGTGTATTGGGGACAACTCTGGGATGGATCTCAAGTAAGCCGCAAAGAAAAGAAGAAAAGTTCACACCTTTACTCTTCCTTCTTCATAGCGGGGGAATTCACTGCGACGAAATTAATGTGTTTGGCAGATTGCGGTGAAAAGACTAAAGCTGTGGAGCTCCAAGCGAGAGATTGACTTTGCTGTGGAGGTCGAGATCCTGGGAAGAGTCCGTCACAAGAATTTACTGAGCTTGCGTGGTTATTGCGCCGAAGGCAAAGAGCGTCTTTTGGTGTACAACTACATGCCGAACTTAAGCTTGTCAGCGCATTTACACGGACACTTGGCCGCGGAGTCAAACCTCGACTGGGAAAGAAGGATGAACATCGCCATTGGCTCTGCCGAAGCTCTAGCGTAAGTTTTTCGATTCCATCTTTTTCCTTTGCTACCAAGAACTAAGTTTCGCACGAATCTATCCAGGTACTTGCACCACCACGCAACGCCTCACATCATCCATGGGGATTTGAAGAGCAGCAATGTGCTCCTCAATGCGGAGTTCGAAGCACAGGTAGCGGACTTTGGATTCGCGGAGCTTGTGCCAGAGACGAGCACTGTAAATGCTGGGGCCATGGGGTATTTTCCACCGGACCACGCGACTCCAGGGGATGGTAAGCTGTCAGAAAAGAGCGACGTTTACAGCTTTGGAGTTTTGCTCCTCGAGCTGGTGAGCGGTAGAAAGCCAGTGGAAAAGCAGGGATTTTCCGCGAGCGCTAAAAGCGTGAACAGCAAAAGCAGCAGCGGTGATAAGACCAACAGCAGCAGCAGTGGTGATAAGATCACAAGCAGCGATAGTATCGACGTCAAGAGCAGTGGCAGTGTCAAGCAAAGTATAGTCGAGTGGGCGACTCCAATGATCTACGAGGGAAGGCTGGATGATATCGCGGATCCAAAGCTCAGCGGGAACTTCAACGAGGTGGAGCTCAAACAGGTCGTTCAAGTGGCTCAGTGGTGCTCGCAAACGAGCCCCGAGAATCGTCCCAGCATGATCAAAGTGGTGGAGCTGCTCAAGAAAGTGCGAGACGAGAAGATCAAAGCTGACGATCACGATGGATAGTGGTGTGGCGCTGCTCAGAAACTTGCGAGACGAGAAGATCAAAGCTGATAGAATGACGAAGAAAAGAATCGATCGAAGAACAGGGAGAAAAAATGCTGGCGAGAAAATTGCTGTAAATTTTATATTCTTTTGGGTGTGAAGTTTCGAGAGAGATGGATGCGATGATTTTTTGGATTGCTGTAATCCTTTCATGGAAGTTTCGTGAGAGGGTCCACCTGGAAATACCGCCACGTGTCGGTGGGGATTAAACTGGAAACCATGGCTGGATATACATTGTATTCGTAGATGTATAGGTAGTGTGTGTTAATTCTTTTTTTCCTTCTCTTCTATCTTCGCTTCCCCCATTCTTTTCCTCCCCTGTTCGCCTGCCTCGAGTGGAGCAAGAGGACGCAAGAGCAATGCGGCGCCGGGCGATTCGCGGGCTTAGATCGAGAGTGTTGTGATCCAATCCATTCTCGCTCGGATTTCCCCGCGGCAAGAGCCCTAGTCAGCTCAATTTCGAGGTATGTGGCCCTAGAAATCGCCATGGCTGGAGATTAGGTCTGTAGCAAGAGGAGCAAGAGCGTTGCTTGCGCGTTTCTAGCGTTTCTTTCTTTTGGTTTGGTGCTTCTTCGCCAAGTTTTTTTTTATCTATTCATTTTTTTTTTCCTCTCTGTTGGTTCTTATTTTGTTCTTCAAAGAGAATTATGGAAGTTATCGTGGAAGTTGCTGAGAGGGATTTTTCGTGAGAATGCGAGCAGCGGGAGTGTAGAGCCTCTGATTCGATGGTCGTGAAAAAAAAACGTATATATGCAGGGAGAGCATTCTTTTGGGATTATGACAGCCTGAGTTGAGAAACTCGTCCTCTCGCATCATGAATGGGCCTTGGAAGGAGAATTTCAGTGGCGGTGGCTTCAGGTACTCTCTTTCTTCTATTATTTCTTTTTGTGTTTTTTTGTTTTTTGTTTTTTTGGTCTAGGAAACTAAACTCCGGTTCTTGTTGTTCAGTGAAGATAGACGTTTCTCGTTTGGGTACTGCGGGCAGTGCGGGAAAAGAGCGTCGATGGAGGATTTCATTGAAGCCAGGATAGCCAAAGTTGATGGTCAGGAAGTCGGGCTCTTTGGAGTGTTTGACGGTACGAGCTATGTGTTTGTGTGCTGTTTCTAGCGTGTGGTAATGTCATAGTTTGCTTGGTGTTGTCCTAGGACACGGAGGGCCTCGAGCTGCCGAGTTTGTAAAGAAGAACCTCTTCCAGAATGTGATCAGCCATCCTCAATTCACAAGCGACATCAAGTTTGCAATCGGTATATGATCGTTTATCTTCTTTCTCTTGAGGTGCCAAGTGTGTCCTTGTTTTCCTGCAGCTGACACCTACAAGCAAACAGACGATGACTATCTAAAAGACGAGAAGGACCAGTTCAGAGACGCTGGAACCACGGCTTCCACTGCACTACTGGTTGGCAATCAGCTCATTGTCGCCAATGTTGGAGACTCGAGAGCAGTAATGAGCAGGGCTGGCGAAGGTAAAGATCATCACTTCATTTTCTCCTCTTTTCTTTTTTTCTTTTCCTTCTTCTTTTCTCTTATCTTTCGGAAATGTGTTTCATTCTTCAGCCGTGCCGCTGTCAATCGATCACAAACCAAGCAGACTAGACGAGAAGGAACGGATTGAGAGTGCGGGAGGATTTGTAACGTGGGCTGGTAAGTGGAGCCTCTTTTTTCTATGTTTTTACACGCAGGTTTGAGTGCTTTGTTCTGACACGCCAGCTTATGTGTGTGCTAACAGGCACCTGGCGTGTGGGAGGCGTCCTGGCAGTTTCACGAGCGTTTGGAGACAGGCTCTTGAAGCAATTCGTTGTTGCCATTCCAGAGATAAAGGTTCGAAGCTGTTTTTAGGAAGTCGTCGATTGTAAGCTCTCTTTATTTTAGGAGGAGGTGATAACGGAAGATGTGGAGTTTTTCGTGATCGCCAGCGACGGCCTATGGGACGTGGTCACGAATCAGGTGGAGTTTTGTTCTTCTTCTTTTTTTTTGTTTCAATCCCTTCAGGCCAAAAGTCTGAAGTATACTCGGTATGTGGTGTTTTTTTGTCTTTAGGAAGCCGTGATGCTTGTCAAGTCGCTGATGGATCCCGAGTCGGCAGCCAAGAGACTAACGCAAGCAGCGATAAAAAAAGGAAGCATGGACAACGTCAGCTGCATCGTCGTCCGCTTTAATCACGACAAGCAGCCGGAAGAAGAAATCCTTCCCCAAAAGCCCGAGTGACAAAGAAGACGGTGCCTGTGTTGTTTTGATGTTTTCTTTTTGTCCCCTTTCTTCTCTCTCGCTCTCTCATCTCCCAGGAACTATTAATCTGAAATGGGACGCCAAAATCTAGCCAAAGAGAATAAGAGTTTGGTCTCTCGTTATTCCATGGAAGCCAAAGTTCGTCCAAGATCACGCCACCGTGGCAGCGGTTAGGCCTTTTACCACGCCAATGGAGAACGCGGAAGAAACTCCAGCAGTGCCGCGGGAGGACGGATCGTTTTCGCGCGAATTCTCGCTCGACCAGCTCAACCAGGTGCTCGCCTTCGCATCTAGCAGCGTCGAAGAGGCTGCAACGCAAGTACTCAATCGCTGCGTCTCACAAAGGATAAAACCAAAAAGAACAAAAAGAAAAAGGAAAGTTACCTCTATTTCTATCAGCGAACTGTCAGTGCTGATCCACTGTGCTTGACACACAGATGTCTCGCCACGATCCTCATGCTGGACGACTACAAGATAAAAGCCAGGAATGCGTTTGTCCTCGATTATTGCCTGGGGATCATAATGTAAGTGCCTACCTTTTCGAGAAAGAAGGATAAAAAGGTTGGAACAGGTTCTCGCAAGAGATTGGGTTCAGCGCAGACCAAACTCTTCAGCTGTATGCTCTGGGCCTGGACATGCTAGACATTGTCAAGAGTAAGAAATGGCAGCGAATTTCTAGAGGATTTACCTTCGACTGAAGTGCAGGGAACGGCTCGTTTGACGAGGCACAGACGGCTTTCCAGGACAAGATGATGTTTCTCAGCTGCCGCGAGTGCGGGAACGAGAACCCGTCCTTTACCACTCAAGTGGACGTCCAAAAGGCAACCGAGTTTTTCACCTCAACGTGAGCACAACCTCAAAGTTAGTATTATGAACTTCATGAACGATGTCTACAGTGCTTTAACGAACAAGAAAACTAAAACTTGAGAAACTTACCACTCAGCCAGGGCTCTCCAGATTTTTCCAGCACTACTTCCTCTACGCCTACTGCTTTAACAAGGAGCACTGCCATGTAACAAAGTCAGAGACTGTGCACATTGAAACAGCTCTGGTCTTACCTTTGTCGGAGTCCTTGATCACCGAGGAATACGAAGCTGCCCTCGTAAGAAACCTTCTATACTACCTAGAAAGAAAGACCCGAAGTACTGTTTCTGTTTCTCTCGCAGGCAGCAAAGGCAGCAGCGAAGGCAGCGGCTGAAGCGGAAGAGAAAGCCAGACAAGACGCGTCAGCCCAGGCAGCAGCGGAGGCAGCGGCGGCGGCAGAAGCTTTGAGACTGGCCGAAGAGCGTAAGAGAAAGCCACAGACACTCGAAGAAGCAGTGGAGTTTGTAGTCCGCGAGAAGATGGAGGTTGCAAAGCAGCAGCTAGCGGAGGAGTATAGCCAGCGAGAGCAAGCACTCGTACAGAAGTTTCAGGAGCTATCCCCAGCAGCGGCACCAAAGGCTGAGCCACCGAAGAAGAAGAAATAGCTAAAACGTTTCGATGAAAATTAAAACCAAGGAAACAAGTGTATGATGCAAAAGTTCTATTGTAGTACCTTTGCGTCATTGGCACTACATATGCCTATTCCTACGGCTCATGCTTGCTTGACGCTGCTCCCTGAAAAGACGAAGGATACCAGCGGCCTACAAAAGAGTCAAAACAGAAAAAGAAGGAAAGTAAGAAGAAAAGAAAAGAGAAGAAGAAAAAAGACGGACCTTTTCTTTTGCTCGAGAAGTTCCAATTTGTGAAAGAATATATAGCGGAGGAAGAGCACCCTCTTGCAAAGTCGTCCTCCTGTACTTGGGATTGTTGGTGCACAATTGCAGGAGCGCGGCCGCAGCGCGTTCTTTGGCGAGCGGCGAGCCAGCTTCCACAACTTCCACCAGCGGAGGAATCCCTCCCTCTTCCCCGATGGCCATTCTCCCCTCGGGAATGCTCGACAGCGTTACCAGCACGTCAACCGCCCTGTCCACCATTCCCATCCTCGGCTCGCAGATGAGATTTATCAGTGGCTTCACTCCTCCTGCCGCTACTATCCTCACCTTGTTCTCCCGGAACAAGGAAAGGTTGTGTAGCGCTAACGCTGCGTCTTTTTTCCCCCGTGGGGTGCCAGTTCTCAGCAAGTCGACCAGTAGAGGTATGGCGCCACGAGCACCGATTTTTTCCTTGTAGTCTTCCACAGAAATACTGCAAAGCGTGGCTGCCGCATTTTCTCTCGCGTCACTGGTCCCAGACTTGAGGACGTCAATCAGCGGGTCAATCGCTCCAGCCTCGGCGATCTCGGCTTTGTTGTGCTCGTTGAGAGACAAGTTCAGCAGTGCGGTTACAGCGTTCTCTTGAGTCTGTGCGTCTCCGGACGAAAGAAGAGCGATGAGGGGAGTGATGCCTCCTGCATGGGCGATCCTGTTTCTGTCCTCGATACTGTTCTTGGTCATCACACGTAACTCAGAAGCGGCACTTCTCTGCGCCTCCAAGTCCGTAGAGGCCAGGTTCTGAACGAGCCGTTCAATGCCAGCGTCAGCTACCTTATCACCTCCTGCGTAGACGCTCTTATAGCTCTTCCTTTCTTTCTGCTTTGACGACTGCATTTGCCTCGTGAAGATGGGAAAGTGATCCGGACTGTTGCGTGACGGTGACAATCCCAGGGCCTCCACTTCACCAGACAGTTCGCTACTGTACGTGCTGGAGGATCTCACTCTCATCACAGGCCCGCTCGGCATCCTTTTCTCATAAACATCATCTTTGTCTTTTCTGCGGCCACTGACAATACCAGTCGAGCTACCGTGGTCCGAGCTACGTTCCTCACAGTCAGTATCCAGACCACTGGGAATGACCGAGGTATCCTCTCGTGCCTCTTCTGCCTCGGAAAACGTTGGTGGCAGCCAGTTTGTAGACTTGACAGCATCCACTTTCGGCAAAGGAACGTCGTTTGTCTGGCACCAGCTCGCTATCAACGCCTTAACGGTATAGTTCGGTATGAGATTGATGTGTGCCAACGGTTTCCCTGTCTTGGGACACCGAGTGTTCCCTTGATCCAACCAGTGCTGAATGTAGGCCCTCTCATAAGTCTGTCCGGAAGCCACGATTACGGGGTCATACATAAGCTCCAGCGACAGAGGGCATCGAAAGTCTGCCGGGATTTGCACCTCCTGTGACTGCGTCTCACCCTTGACATCCCCATCGTCGAAATTGTCTTCGGCCAGCTGCATGAAGAGTGATATCACCTGGTCGATAAACTCTTCCTCCAGCTTGTCTTTGTTCCTCCCGGCCTCACCTCGATCCTTCTCTAACGCGTTGAGCTCTTCAGATATCTGTTCCTTGGTGGTGATTCCCAGGCACCCAGCTAGCTTATCCAGCTTCTCACGACTGGCCTTCCTGCCTTCCCTGTGATCGCACAGCAGCGCCTCGATCTCTTGTCTTATCTGTTCTTCGAGCACGTCCTTGGAGTAACTTGCCTTTCTTAACTCGAGGACACAGTTCTCCGCCTGGAAGTTGCACAAGAAACAACAAAGCAAAAATATAAGTTTGAGATTGTCGAGAGCATGGCTGTGCGTACCATGCACTGGACTTGCTTCGATACTCTCGGCAAAACTAGTCGCGACGCCGAAAGGATGGTCTCGATCTCCGCGCTCAGCTCTTGGAACTGGTCCACGCATTGAGGACTTTTCAAGAACTAGGAGACAAACCAAAGTAAACACTTCAGTGCCATTTTCTTTCCCAAAGAGAAGCTTACCGAGTAGATCTTGCTTCCTTTGCTGCATTGCCCAAGAACTTCCTTGGCCCCCTGGAGCGCCGACTGGAGCGATCCAAACGCCTCGATCGTGGCGTCGGACAGCGGGAACTTGGACTGCCGGAGCTCATCAAAGAGCTGCTTGAGAAGCCGCAGCTGCGCTGCCAGGACCAAGCAATTCCCCTGCTGCGACTTGGCACTCTCGCACATATGAATGATCATACGGATGGAGAGCGCGATGTCCACCAGGAGCGTCCCATTCTCCATGGCGGCCCCAAAATCCTGGCGCCAATGTGGATCCCTACAAGCAGACAATCCAGCCGTCCCCAGCACGATCGATACTGTGGACGATCGTCATCCCCCATGCCGCCAAGGCGCAAGAATGATAAAGTATCGGAATCGCGAGCTCCGTCTTGACAAATCGATCCATGGACTGGCACTCACCGCCGAATCCCGCGCAACGGTAGCACAACGCGTGAAAGCGATGGATCGATCGCCCGGAGCGGCTGACCTTGACCGTGAGAGAGAGAGAGGAGAGAGAGAGAGAAGATCCAAGAACCCTAACGCCGGCCCCTGCGCATTTACTTCTCGACAGGCTAAACAAATGGCTTGCAAGGACAAAAAAGTGGGCGACCACGAGACTAGAACCTGAGACCGCTGACCATTCAAGCCCTAGCTTTTTCCCGCCACGTGGCCACTTGTCACACCACTCGATGGAGAAGGATGGTACCATGAGAAAATCTGTGTCGCCTTGACGAGACCACCGGATAAAAACCGAGGAAAGATTTACAAAGATTTACAACGAAAGATTTACAAGAGATTTTAACAAAGAGGAGCTCTTCTCCATTTTCTAGCCCTATTGCTTCTTCTTTGGAGGAGATGGAGCGGCGGGGTGGCACTAGGGCGGCGCCGCGCAGCTGAATGCCCCGCCAGGGCCAGGAATGGCGGATCAGAGCGCCGGGGACGCGGTAGGATGGTCGGATTACCCTGCGCCTGTGGAAAGTGGTATGAGCGCCAGCGATTCTCCAATGTCCTCTTTTGTTCTATAGATTAGATGCCCCAATTCGATGGTTTCCTCCTACGATTCATCGCCAAAGCCTACATTTCTTTTCCTTCCCGTGCTAGATTCATGATCATGGTTTGTGTTGTCCTTCTAGATCCTAGATATTTTTCTCTCTCTTTCGCATCCGGAGATGATCGGTCTTTGTTTTTTCTGTTTTGGCAGACGACTGGTGGGGATGGGATGCTTCTTCTGCTGCTCTATACCTTCCCGAGATTGACAATGTCATGCAGTGGGACGACTCTGGAGCTCTGGAGGCTCTACAGTTTTCAAGGGAACGTAAGCGTGCGAGGGACTTAAACCTGCCATGCAACGTCCCGTCTCTCAAGCCGGACGTTTTCAACGAGAAGATCGATTGGAACACGAAACCAGGCAAGTTGTCCAAGGAAGCTGCCGAGGCCTGGGCTTTTATCGTCGAGGCGGACAACAGGGCCAACACTCGTCGCAAGGGTGGAAAGTATGGCCGACGAAAGCTCGACAGTACTTTCGCGCAGGCGAACGAGTCAAGAGAAGAGGTAACGTTGCCTCCGACGGGATGGGACCTCCCGCCCAGTCCCGAGAAGCAGCAGCATTCTCAGCCAAATCCATGGCGAAGCAGTGACAGGGATGCTTTCCAAGCCAATCCATGGCGAAGCGGTGACAGAGATGCTTTCCAAGACCGGCAGCGGTGTAGAGGCTGGGAGAATCGCTACAATCAGCCTTCCTCTTCGAGCTGGAGGAACAGCGGTGCCAGGAACTCGAGACACTGGCAAGAAAACTCGTACAAGACAGGTATGGAGCTCAAGGTTTTCGCATCTCAAGCTGACGTTTTGATGGATCAGGAGTATGGAGGCCCAAAACCAGCAACAATTACTCAAACAACTGGCCGCAAGGAAGCTCAAGGCAACAGCCAACCGCAAGAGATGAATGGAACAAGCAGGAATACGAGCACAGATGGTAGGCATTGTGGTGAGTTTTTTTGAGCTCTTCTTCTATCTTTTCCATATTTTATAGGATAGGATGAATTGTTATCTGTACAAAGGTGAGATTCGTGGCAATAGCCAGAGAGCTTGTAGAGAACAAAGTGCTCGTGAGTGGAAGATTTTTGTTATGAAATACAGGTTTTTTTTCCTTAACTTTGCGATGGTGTTGCTCGGGTCCATCTTAAAAGTCTCTCCTGCATCGATGGGGTCTACAAAGAAGGCTGCTCCAGCAAATCAAGTACGAGAAAAATGGCATGCTGCAAAGTCGTTCCTCGTTCTTTGCTCTGCGAGATCGATCATACGGTAGTGATGTTTTATCTCCCAAGCTCATCACGTCGTTGTAAGGTATATTTTCAAATATTGAGCATCCGTGTCAAGATAAACAGCTGTGGAGACGCATTCTTTTCCATCGCGTACGTAAGTGTGATTCCTCCGTCCGAGCTATGCAAACCTTTTGATAGAACTAGATGCTCTCAAACGAAGACCAATTTCTGAAAGAGGTTCTTCTCATCTCGAGCTTAGCCACCCGCAGCGCTCGATTGTGTCAAGAGGATTATCTTGATAGAAGACGTGGTAAACGATACCCGGCCGACTACTGGAGAGGTCGTCTTCCCAAACTGAACAGGAATTCCATCAACCTGGTGACGGAGGTTGGAACTCGGGAGACTTGTTTTCCTTGGTCATTCTCCTCAGGTTTCATGCTAGCTTTAATGCTAGCTTCAAAAAAGAAGAAAAGAGCGCGATCCATAATGCCGACAGACTTTCCACCACGACAGATGGTGGCAAGAGGCTCAAGTTCCAGCTGCTGGTGATGACCTCACAACAATGCAACCATATTCTTGCTTGTGTAACATCTCAGATTCAGCATCCATTCCAGTGTCGCATTGTTCTCTCTCAATCAAGCGAACGCTTCATTCGTAAAAAAGAAAAACGACAAGTTAAATTCGCAAAAAACAAAGTAAAAAAATTAGATATTGAAATTAGGAATTTATATCAATCGGTTTTATGAGGATGGCATTGGTACTCCACAGCCGGGCAATAAACTCACAGTTGGAATAATATAATTGGGAATGAGTTTAGAAGAAACTTCATAAAACTGCTGAGTGAAATGAGTGCCATCAAATAATAAACATTCACTTGGATTGTTGAATACAGTATCACTCGGTGATCCACAACCACATAATGCTGTATTATTATCAGTAACACAATTGAAATCACCTTCAGGTATGCCACAACAAGCTTGTTTATAACTTTTAAATCCATATTGCTCCATGGTTTCAATTATATTATTACTTGCAGAAAACCAATCAAAATAATATACTTCAATAACATGATTTTGATTGTTAATATCATTTACCATATCCAATAATTACTTATTAAATAAATCAATAGTATTTCTAGCCTTAACAAGACATCCAAATTTATCATAATGCATCCCAGTAGCATCAGAAAATAATTGTAATTAACTAGGAGCACAATCATAACGAGGAAGATTCATTACCATAAAATATTTTGCATCAGAATTGTATAAATCCATAATACTAGATTTGATACCCTTAACTACCGCTGGAATTGTATTATTCATCACATATGCAAAATCTGGCATTCCATAACCACGATCATTGCCACCAATTTCAATATAACAAAGTGCTTTTTCATATAGCATTTTCTTATCAAGTTTAGCACCATTTTGATGGTCATTAACTTGTTGTTTATGCCATATAAAATCTGCAGACAATATATGGGGAGTAGCGAAAGAAGGTGAACGAACAATTGCTCCAGCATAACCAAAATTTAAACTTGTGAAATAAGTACCACTATAAGTTAAACTGAGAGGCTCAATATCACGCAACTTCAATTGACGAGATAAATAATCATACCCATCACAAAATCTTTCAGTGGGTTTTTCCAATGTAATTCTGGTAAATGTCCAGAAAGACTGAATGCACCTAGCCCTGCTGCTGAGGTTGCGATTACCAGTATCCGAAAGTGAATCAGAAAAGCTAAAGATTCCAGTAGGACACAATTTTTTTTCAAAATTACAAGCATTACCATAAATCACTAGCAAAGAAAAAAGAATTAAAAAAAAAAACAAAAAGACATTGTTTTCTTCCAAAAAAAAACAATGAAAGGAGTGACTCATGTTAAAACCGTTGGGTGACCATGCCCGCTAATCCCCACCTTCCAGCTTGAACTGGAACTGGAGCCGGCTCCAGTTCAGTTCAAGCTGGAAGGCTACATAGGGGATAGATTAGCGGGCATTACAGTCTGATTTTTATCATGCGCCATCCCCTTTGCAGCCTCGGCTCCAGTTCCATTTCAAGCTGGAGGCTGCAAACGTGGAGGCATAAGGAGTTGGTCGAGCTACAAAAAATAAAAAATAAAAACGTTTAGAATAGGGAATCATAATAAATAAATAAATAAATAAAAATGCATAAGGCAGAAAAAAAGAGCTACTTGCTTATGAAAGACTTGGTTTGAAAGGCTTTGTGGCTTCTAAAGGTCTCCCAAGTAGAAATCCACTCCGACAGCTTCATGAAAAATCTAATATCAAGAAAAAAGCTTAAAAGATATTGTTACATAGCATATCTCATGCTTCGAGCTGCCTTCTAATTGTCTTAAATGGTGAAGCCTATCGCAAAGTATCCGATTTAGATTCCCTACGCCAGACCTCTCGCTTGATCCTTAGATGACCATAGGCTTTCGTCGTCCTCGTGCCTAGCGAAATGATAGAAAATAATCTACCATGAAATGGAAGCGATTAGCCCGGAAACAAATGTCCTTGTTAATAATTATTTTAAGTTTATATTATTTGAGGGAAATTGTCCGGATGGATCGTAAAAAAATTAGAATTTCCAGCCGTGTTTGCTCACGCTTCCCTGTGACAATGAGAGATAAGAAATCAGTGGTCTGTTGGATATACCCGAGCACCTCAGGAAAAAATATCTAACTGAGAAATCGGGAGCCGGCTTTACAATTTGGACGGCGCGGTTGTCAGCCTGAGCTTAAGATCGGCAGCCACGGCATCGATAAACTCCTCGGTGTTAAGATAATCTTTCTTTGTCACCCTGCACAACAAAACAGTAGCGAAAAATCCAAAGGAAAGCTGAAAATTCTATCTTACTTTGGCCCGTGGATGAGCAGAGCGAGATCCTTTGTCATTTTGCCAGACTCAACGATTCCTACGCAAGCCGCCTCGAGCTTCTCTGCGTAGTCGCTTAGCCGCGCATTGCCATCCAGTGTCGCCCTGTTTAGCAACGCAAATATTATACGAGGAAAGAGAGGGAAACTAATCCATGCCTGTGAGAAAGGCCTCGAGACCAGGCAAAGATGGAGGCGATGCTGTTGGTGCTGGTTTCACCGCCTTTCTGGTGTACTCTGTAGTGCCGAGTTACAGTCCCATGAGCGGCTTCGGCTTCAATGGTCTTTCCATCGGGGCAGACCTGTGAAAGCAAAGTTAGTGGAAGAAGAAAGAAAAACCATCACTATAGGCTCACCAGCACAGAAGTCATCAATCCAAGGGAACCAAATCCTGCCACAGGCATGCTTAGTCTCTATGACAGAGAGAATGCATTAATGTACCTTGTGCCAAAAAGTCGCTCTGCACATCACCATCGTAGTTTTTGCATGCCCAGACATATCCACCATCGCTCTTGAGAGCATAAGCAACCATATCGTCAATCAGGCGATGCTCGTACCTGTTGATAACACGTAAGCAGATTGCAAACATATAAATTCGAAACAAACCAGATGCCAGCTTCCTCAAACTTGCTCTTCCACTCCGCCTCGTAGACCTCTTGGAAGATATCCTTAAACCTGATAACTTATGTAGCTTAGAGCTTGTATCCACGAATTACCATCTGAAAACTTTTACCTGCCATCGTACTTCTTCAAAATCGTGTTTTTGGTGCTCAAGTATAGAGGCCACTTCTTTGCCAGAGCAGTAGTCATAGAGGCTTGTGCAAAGGAACGAATGGACTGTTACAAACTCAAAACGTTATAGAAGACTTACTGCAACAGACACCCGAACCTCATCAGTGTTGTACATAGAAAGAGCGACTCCTCCATCTCCCTTGAAGTCGTAAACCTCGAATTCAGAGGCCTCTCCATTCTCAGGCACTGCACAGCAGAGTACACAAAAGGTAAAAAAAATGAGAAAATCCTGTTTTCTTCTTACCAAAAACCAGCTTAAGCTTTCCAGAGCCCTTGATAACTGTATCGGTGGCACGATACTGGTCTCCAAAAGCATGCCTTCCAATGCAAATTGGTTTCGTCCACCCTGGAGTTCGTCGTAGTAAACAAAACTAAAAGGAAACGCCGCAAACACTCACCTGGAACAAGCCTCGGGACGTTCTTGCAGACAATCGGCTCTCTAAAAACAGTCCCTGCACGTCACATTGCACGTAAGACATGCCATCCACCAAAGTCTGTGTCTTACCGTTCAAAATGTTACGAATTGTCCCATTGGGACTTTTCCACATTGCCTTGAGGCCGAATTCCTTGACTCGAGCTTCGTCTGATAGCCAAAATCCATACGCAAAGCATGAGAAGAAAACTACGAGCACAAAAGCACCGGTGTACCTGGCGTGATCGTTGCACACTTGATCGCAACATTGTACCTTTACAATTGGGAAGAAACAGATTTTTCCAGGAAAAAGGGAAAGGAGGATATATATATATGTTACTTGAGGGTTGCTTCGGCACTCTCAACTGTGACTTTGTCATCAGTTTCGTCACGACGTGGAAGGCCCAAGTCAAAGTATTTAATATCCAAATCAAGGAATGGAAAAATGAGCTGCAAGAATGGGCCAAGTTAAAATCTATGGAAGAGAAGAAAAAAAATGTGGAGAAGGGAAAAAAGAGCGCGTGACAAAACCTTGTCCTTGATCATTTGCCAGATGATCCGGGTCATCTCATCTCCTGCAAGGAAGAAACCGAAAAAGCGTAGAAATGTGAGCGATCCTGTAGAGGGGAAGAACAAAAATATCTCCTCACTCACCGTCCATCTCCACGATGGGATTCTCCACCTTGATCTTCTCGAACGCCATTCGGATCTTGCGCTTCTGAGCAAAGATCGTGAGATTATGACCTTTCGAAATCCGGCGAGGCTCGATCGAGGCGGATCGATCAAGAAGGGAAAGATTTACCTGCGCTTCTACAGGCGATGGCGATGGCGATGGCGCCGGCGGATGCGACGCTCTTGCCGGCGGCGGCGAGCTGGAGGGAGGAGGGCGGAGGAACAAAATAGATCCAAAGAACACACTTTAGGACTCTCCCTTCCGGGGATAGAATATACCACCGCGTAAGAGCACCACTGCCAGGTGGCGCCTTTCGATTTGGCTCTTGGATGGAAGCTCCGGGTAGGTCACTCTTTCTAGCCAAGCAAACGTTTCCTTGGATTTTTTTTGCTCTACAGAGATTATACGAAGAATGATCGATTGAAAAGAACAAATGGATAAGATTATACAAGAAGAAGAACTTTGCTACTGATAAGATCAAACGAAGTTGGATCGGACTTGATTGATAGCGGCCTCGTCCAAGAAGAAGGTCTTCTCGAGCACCTCGTCTGGGACCTCTGGACGGGAACCAAACATGGATCTCGCGATGAACTGGATTCCAGGCAGCTGGGAGTTGAGAGTGGCAATGATCTTCGCGTTGCCAGTCCCAACATTCATCTGCCAGTGGATCAATCCGCGAGGAATCACCATGACTTCGCCCCTGTTCATGACACGAGCAAACAAGCGATTGTCCGCGGTGACGATGGCGGCGTAGACGCTGCCCTCTTCTACGTAGACCATCTCCGAGGCTCTGGGATGGGTGTGTGGGGGGATGATTCCTTCGGGGAGGAAGTCGAGCCTGGCGATGGAGAGACCCAAGGTGTTGAGACCAGGAAACCTCAGCACTGTCCCAAAGATGGCGCCGGAGCGATTGATGTTCGTGGTGTTGGAAGAATTGACGATGCCGCTGTAGATGAAATCGTCCACCGTGACTGTCGAGGAGTTCGTGCATGGGAACCCATTGACGCCTGGAACAGCGGTGAGGTCTCCAATGCAAAAGTCCTGGAGTGGATCTGGATCGGATGAAACTGCCACAGTGACGAAGATTGCGAGCAAGGCAATCCCAAGAGCTTGAGATTTGGAAACAGCCATCTTTTCACTGATCAAAAACTTTTGGATCTCGAAGAGGATGGATGAATGAATGATTTCGCTTGGAGATGAGAGAAGATATATATACTGAGAAGTTACACGATTATCAATGTGTACGTTTCTTGGATGTTGCTGGGATTGTAAGAATTTGACAACCGAGTGAGCCAACTATATTGGAACAGCGAGTTTTGAAAATTGTAGAGCTTGCTGGACGAAGTCAGCTGCTTTGAGAATATTCTGTGTTTCTGGTCTTATGATTTTAACTTAATACACAGTGATCGAAAACACAATTCGCAAATAGACTTAAGTGATTAACTCTATGAATCACGCTGAATAAAAGAAAACATGACTCGGACAACCCAATTCCCTAAATGAAGTGAATCTTTTATAAAATTACACCCCAGCATTAGAAAAGAAACAACTTTGGTCTGATATCAAAGTTAATAGTCCATCTAATGTACAGTTTCTTTAGGAATTCTGTTTGATTTTAATTTATCAGAAAAATAATTTTTAACCAAGACAAGCTGATTATAAATTTATTTCCAACTTTTTTTAATGTTTATTTCTTTCCTCCTTTGCCTCAAAAGTAAATTATCAACTTTTCACCATCTAATCAGAGCGTATTTCTAAAAAATTTAAGTAATATTTTTTATGTTTTAATTTCTATTAATAAGGTGATTGAGTTGATCTCCTTCATTTACTGAGTTTTCTTATAATAATTTCTAACATATCACTTTCCATTTTTCAATAATGATCTTAATTCTCATTAGTCATTGCGATGTTGTTAATAGTTCTAGCCAACTTAGTCTTCATATTAATACTTAAGTTCTTTCTCTATGCTTAGCATCATAAAGAAGCATGATATTATGTATTTATTATGCCTATGTTTTTATTGAGGAGCCACTATTAGCCATGGTAGGAATTGAATCCTAAACTTCTACTTATGATATTTAAACTTAAAACTTATTATACAATAACATATATCCATACCTAAATTAGATAAAAGTTTTTATTATTAATCTTGTCATTTTCTCTTCTCTTAATGACAAGTTTTTTATAGTAAATAAAACATTAATATTGAAAATATAACTATTATAATAATTTATTGCATATTACATATAGAAATAGCAATGTTATTCAATTGATAAAGTCTTTAATTATAAATATAATATTAATATATTATAGAAAAATTATAGCTATAAATTTATTTTTCATTCTCAATCTCCATTGCATTCTCCTCTTTTGTCATGTCACGTTGTCATCAATTGAGGAGTTTATCACTTGAGGCTGTTAATGTTGTTTTGTTAAATCTAGCTTTTGGTGTTGTGAGGCATGACTATATAAATGTTGTGCCCATCCTTGATATATTGCCCTCATCAAATTCTATAAAACATGATTACATAGTATATTCTATATTTATTGTCTTGCCATATCTCCTTACTATTAATTGGAGAGTTATAAATAATACAATTTAGTTTTTGGAAAATGTTCAAGAATTGAGTTTATGAGAAAATAATGTGTAGAAATTTGAGTGAATTTTGAATTGTAACAAGGAGCTTGATTATTATAGAGATATATTTGAAGATAAGTTAGAGATTTTGGAAAATATATGTCAATCCTTTAAACTACCATTTGATCTTTTCTTTTTACCTTTTGTTTTTTCCAAACTTCTCTATTTGACCCACCTTATATTCTTTGTATTCTTCCTTATCTACAATATTTCCTTCTTCTAACATATTGATTATAATTCTCATTCTCAATTTAGTACTTGAGTTGAGTGTTTTCTATCCTCCTCATACTAATCTAAATGTTGAATATATGTGAAGTTGAGAATTTTATTTTTATTTTGTTATGGAGTATTCGACTAATTCTAGTATTGAATATCCTTTATTCTAAGGGTTAAATCATTTCTACCAAAGTTTTGAGGTAAGTAGATATTTTTTATTATAAATGCCATTAAAAGACTTAATTTTACTATTATTGCTGAGAAGTTTTTATTCTTTTGAAAGTATAAATTTTCTATAAATTTTCCTGTATGAAGTGTTGAGTTATATGTCGAGAAAGTTGAGTAATGTGAATCTCTTATTTATCTTATGGTAGCTACAGTATTTTATAACAGCATATCCCTTATTATCTAAGCTTTAAATACATATCTTCTTTTTACTTCCCTATATCCACCTTTACAGCTATTGAAAATTCCTTTTTTATCCACTTTTTTTTCTTCTTTTCTTTATTCACTTTTTCCTTTTTTACTTTAATATTTTAAATTTTTTTCAAAATAGGGCATAAAGGGGATGGATGGACAAAATTCTAGCCCTAACAATAGGATAAAGATGAGTGGATATGGTAGTGGAATGATAAAAAATGACATGGATTGTAAAAGAAGGATGAACATAATGAGTTCAAATTGAACATTTAACCTTAACATAATAAAGTTAAATGAATACAATAGTAAAGTGAGGCTAAATATAAATAACAAAATGAGGATAATTGTAGTGTGTTTCAAAACTTTTTTGCATCAAGAAGGGGATAAAGAGGATATGTAAGATAAATGAAATGCCCATGTATGGTGCTAGACGAAAAAAAAGGTTAGAATTTCAAAATAACACAAAGCTCAAATCTTGACCAAATGGAAGATATAGAGATAGATTTTGTTAATGGTCATGAGTTTGAATTAATAATGGCCTTGATAGATGGCCAAAGGGTAAATTATTTGTTATAGCGGTGTTTTGTAAACTTTAGTAACTCTGAAAGTCCTTTACTTTGGTTCAAAGTTGGTTTAAGCATTTAGTAGTTATATATGTAATTCTAATTGGTTTATCAAAATTTTATAATCAATTGATATTTATGCTATAACTTTAGATTTTGTTTCTATCATAATTGTTAGTTACTATATTAGTGGTTATGTAGGAGTTTAAGTTCTTATGGCAGTTTATAATTGCTTAGTAGGATCTTTAGATATTCCACCTAACTTATAATCATCACTTTTTCATCTTATATATATATATATATATATATATATATATATATATATATATATATATATATATATATATATATATATATATATATATATATCTGCCTACTTAAGTAATACATTAATTATAGCATTATAGCACATGGACCATCCATTTAAAATTGAATTTGATCCATCCATTTTTATATACTTATGCCCATCCCAAGCACTCATAAGTGGAAAGTAATACTTTTTATATAAAATATGATAATTCAATGTAACAATCACAAGTTAGCATCATAGCAATTTAGTATTGAATTTGGTCTATTTATTTTTATATATTTATTCCCATATCCTGAGCACTCACAAGTAGAAAATAATAAATTTTATTTAAATTATAATAATTCAATATAACAGTCAAGTATAGTGCAAGTAACTTTGGCCCACAGCTTAAGTCAGTTCTATCTTTTTAAAGCATTACTGCACTTAGGGATTGCTCATTAGGAGAGTCACAAGTCGCAAGATGGATTGGAAGAGCTGGTTAACTCCATGTAGCATGGAGAAACATGCCATTCTGTTCCATGAGAATGAGCTAAATGGGGAGCACATCCCAGACTTCAACCATGATCTGCTCAAAAGCATCGGTGTCAAAAATGCAAGCGACAGGATCAGCATTTTGAAGCACAGGGATAGCCAAATCGGTAAGGCATCGAATGAGAAGGTCTCTAAGATCGTAGGAGATGCACAGTCGGACATAATCTCGCGGCTCAAGCAGAGCGGGGGCATCAGTGAGGAAATGCTCCTGGGATGGGTCAAGGAAAAATGGCCCAAGTGCCAGAGGAATGTTTTGGTAAAGCAAGGGGGTATCTTACCAAAGATGCACCAGGCCAAGGCCTTGCCGCTATCTCAGATGAACACAGAACGGAATCCGGGAAGATGCTGCTCGAAAATGCAAAGGATATGCTGTGGGCTCTGCTGTTTGGAGACGCAGAGAGCAGCGTGAACCTTGACAGAGATCAAAGAGAGCTTCTTTCTCTCACAGTTCCACAGAAGAAAGCATACGCTTTCAACTTCTTCCAGGTTAGTCTATGAATGTTTTAAGTTCGACTTGATCTGCGTTTTGCTTTTAAGGCGGTGACCGAGGTGGGCGTCTCGGGGACATGGCGAGATCCGGACAACGTGAGCAACGACATTGGTGCGCATAACATCCTGCTTCAGATCGAGTTCGGCGACACAAGCTCCGAGCTTGTTGGAGATGGAATCATGGTGTGCATTCACCTCATTAATCTTCTCCAAGTCAACGAGCAGGTCCTGTATGCTCGCATGTCCAATGTGGAGCAGAGCACCCTGCTCACATCCCTTCACTTCCAGAAATGAATCCACGCAAAATCTTCTTCTGTGACGAATCAACCAAGTTCTGCTCAACGATTTACGGTCTGGAAGCTCAATAATTAGATTTCATTTTAAGTTTGAAGATATTAAATAAATTCAAATGAACTTGGATCGCACTTGCTCGATGGTCCTCTCATCCAAAATAAAGGTCTTCTTGAGCACCTCAGCCGGGACTGGAACCGAACATGGACGCTGGAATAAACTGAATTTCCTCCATTCATCCCTCCCATGTGCCAAACACACGTGAAATGCGTGTGCTTGGCTGAATAAAAGCTGAATGCTCTGGCTGTCCAAGCACTCCAGCTTTTATAACTGGAAACTTTGCTGAGAGTTTTTTTTCATGGATGGCTAACGTGAAACACGATTTTGGTCGCCGACCATGTAAAGAATTTTAATCAATAACTTCGGCAGTCAAACTTGGTAATGACGCTGAAGTGTTTGATTTTGTTTTAAATCGAGGAGTTTAATGAGCTGAAAGTCTTAATACAAAGAAAAGAATCCATGATCAGGTCAAAGTAGCTCGACAATGATCTTTGCCTACTCCAAAGTTTATGATTGATCTTTGTGGATATACAATCACTCAAAGTACGGCTCATAGCCTCTATGCGAAGAGAATGAGGCTTCCAACAGAAATTATACGATCTGAAATTTGTTGCCTGTGATCTTCTCTGAAAGGAAATTTATAGTTTTTGTCTTGGAAAGAAATTGGCCAGCAAATGCTGGGCAACCTGCTCTTACGATTTCAAGACTTGAAATTTTTTCTTTTATAAAGAAAAATGAATATTTTTACATAAAGTTGGATCGGACATGATTGATTGTGTTCTCGTCCAAGAAGAAAGTCTTCTCGAGCACCTCATTTGGGATTTGGGGTCGAGACCCAAAAAAGGAAGATCCAATAAATTGAATTCCAGGAAATTGGGAGTTGAGAGTGGCAATGATCTTCGCATTTGTTCTTCCAACGTTCATCTGCCAGTGAATCAATCCTCGGGGAATCACCATAACTTCGCCTCTGTTCATCACTCGAGCAAACAAACGATTGTCCGCGGTGACAATGGCAGCGTAGACGCTCCCTTCTTCTACGTAGACCATCTCCGAGGCTCTGGGATGGGTGTGTGGGGGAATGATTCCTCCGGGAAGGAAGTCGAGCCTGGCGATGGAGAGACCCAAAGTGTTGAGACCAGGAAACCTCAGTGCTGTTCCAAAGATGGCGCCGGAGCGATTGATGTTTGTGGTGTTAGAGGAGTTGACGATTCCGCTGTAGATGAAATCATCTACTGTGACTGTTGATGGGTTCCTGCATGGGAATCCATTGATGCCCGGGACAACGCTGAGATCTCCAATGCAAAAGTCTTGGAGTGGATCTGGGTCCGATGAAACTACTGAGAAAACAAAGAATGCAAGCAAAACTAACAAAACAGCTTGGGAATTGAAGAGAGCCATAGAGAAAAACTTGAGTGATTTTGCGACTAGGTAGATGTATTGCTGAAATGTAATGCTAGATATGTGGAGGAGAACCATATTTATACTGAGAACTGTAATTCAAACGTTGAGCTATGATTCCGAGTGAGCCACCATGTTGGAACAAGGAATTTGGATCAACATGCGAAACTTCAAAGGAACCTTCAAGATAAAATCAACGAAGATAGTCAACATTGACTAATGTTCTCCACTGGATTTGCTTCCTGAAATTAGAAAGAATGTTTTGCTAGTTTGATGTTTACATACGGCATTTTGCGAGTATTTCAATCAATGTCGTTTTTTAAATAGATAAATATAGGTAACTCTTACATTTGATGGAAAATTTGCTGATTTTATTAAAAACTCAGCATTGGACTTGATTGATAGTGAAAAAAGTCTTCTCGAGCACCTCATTCGGGATCTGTGGTCGAGATCCAAACATGGACGCTGCAATAAACTGGATTCCAGGAAACTGGGAGTTGAGAATGGCAATGATCTTCACATTTGTTCTTCCAACGTTCATCTGTCAGTGAATCAATCCGCGAGGAATCACCATAACTTCGCCCCTGTTGATCACCCGACCAAACAAGCGATTGTCCGTGGTGACAATGGCGGCATAGACACTCCCCTCTTCTACGTAGACCATCTTCGAGCCTCTGGGATGGGTGTGTGGAGGGATGATTCCACCGGGAAGAAAGTCGAGCCTGGCGATGGAGAGACCCGGGAACCTTCACACTGTTCCAAAGATTGCCCCTGAGCGATTGGTGTTTGTGGTGTTGGAAGATTTGATGATTCTGCTGTAGATGAAATCGTCCACGGTGACTGTCGATGAGTTCCTGCATGGGAATCCATTGATGCTCGGGACAACGCTGAGATCTCCAATGCAAAAGTCCTGGAGTGGATCTGGATCCGCTGAAACAACTGATAAAACAAAGAATGCAAGCCAGGCGATAGACACGACTTGAGCTGTGGAACTAGCCATTTTCCGTTTGAAACTAAATGAAGCTTTTGAGCGTCGCTCAATGGGAGGCCTTTTTATGCTTGGAGAATCATCCACTGCTTAGATAACTAGCCGTAGAATACCAAGTAAGCCTACCATTTCAGACGCCGAAGAATCTAAAACTCGCGTGAGAAACGCTCTAGGAATAGGAAACGCTGAAAGACACGTCAACAGAAGTCAAATACTTTGATTTTTGACGCAGTCAGCATAACAAAGAAAATGCAACATTTTGAGCTGGGATGGTGACGGTGAAGGTCATTTAAGTCGAAGGTGGAGGGGATAAAGGTGACGGTGGTGGTGGTGGAGTGGGAAGATTTGGGATAGGAACTCCCACTGCAAACGTTTCCATATGTGTGGGAGATGGAGGTGGCACTGATGATGATGGTGACAGTGGTGGAGTGAGAGGTAAATCTGGAATAGGAACTCCTACCATGTCTGCTTTGGAGGCTTCCATCACTGGGGAAGCTGGAGGTGGTGGTGATGGTAGTAGTGATGGATTGAGGAGTAGCAGATTTGGGAGTGGAATTGGGATTGGCATTCACACCACATCAAGTTTGGACACCTTTAGTGATGTGTTATTCATTGGTGGCGGTAGAATGTAATTACATAGTGTCTTCTATTCTTGATGTCTTGCCATATTTAACTAATGTGGTATGATTGTGCTATTGATTGGAGAGTTTATAGATGATATAGTTTAGTTTTTGAAGGATATTCAAAGATCAAGTTTATAAAAAGATAATGTATAAGTTTGAGTGGATTTTGAATTGTAATAAAGAGCTTGGAGATAACTTTGAAGACAAGTTAGAGATTTTGCAAAGTAAATATATATCCTTCAAATTGTCATTTAGCCCTTTTTCCCTTTTCTACTTGTAAGGAACCAATTCCTTAAGGTGTTATAAACTAAAAAATCCTTGAAAGCACGATCGAAATGATAAAGAATTTATCAGATGAGACTAAGTCCAAAATTGAGTCTGAGATTAACTCTAAAATTGCTGAAATGATAAAGAATTTATCATATGAGATTGAGTCTGAAATTGACTCTGAGATTGACTCTAAGACTGAGTTTGAGACCAAGTTTGAAATTGAGTCTAACACCGACTCTGAGACCAAGTTCAATACCGACTTTGAGACTGAGTTTGAGATACAAGGTCGGGTCTGAAACTGAGTCCAAGATCAGGTCTGAGACCAAATCTGAGATCGAGTCTGAGATAGAGTTCGAGGTCAAGTCCGAGTCCAAAGTTGATTTCGAGATAAAGTCCCAAACCAAGTCCAAATATTAATACAAGTTATGGGGTGAAAGCCCAAAGCATGTATTTCCCAGAAAAGGGGCTACAATGGTTTCCAAAAGTATAGTGAAGATAGTGAGGTTCAAGAATCAGTCTTGAAAGAACTCTTCAATAGTGCTTCCAAACTAACTTAAGGTTAAAATTGGGGCTTAAGGGCCTTAGGTGGGAGTGAACATAGACTTGGGTGGTGCCAGAATGGCCACCCAAGGAAGCCAGGAGCACCAGAGTCGGTTTCCTTTCTGGGAGTGGGAATGCTCAAAAGTAGCTCCCACTCCTAGAAAAGAAACTGACTCTGGTGCTCTTGGCTCATATAAAGTGATGCCCCACTTAAGTACCTTATGGTTTATTGATCCTTGCATTTTTTAGAGGCTTAGGCCTTCCATTTGGGATGGAAGTGGGGGAGTAGGGGTATCCATACCAGGCAATTAAGTTATAATGTTTCCCCCTGATGTCCCGAAGCAAGTGTTGCACGTAAGGCTTAGGATTTAGAGGGTCACATGATTAAATCAAAGGATGTTAGGAATTTAAAAGCTTAGTGTGTTTAGTTGCTTGTGCTTGTGGGGAGTGTAGCTAAACCTTAAGTTTAGTTTAACCTGGGGAGGGGGATTGGGAGAGAATTTGGGAATTCGTGAATGGATGGTTAATTGTAAGCGATTAAATTTTCCATTCTACTTTAGTCATTTAACCACACCTCCGACCACTTGGAGAAGTCTGATTCACAACCTCCATAAGTTCTATTTTGGACTTAGGGACTTGCTAGCCCCAAGAATGGCATCCATGCCACTCAACCATTGCACTTGGTCCAAGTGCTCCACGTGTCCAATCCCATGACCGACACCCCAAGGTACCACTGACATATCAGCCCGTTACGCTAAGTCCATGCCCATTCACCTTGGTCACATCGGTGGTCTGACACCACCTACACCACAGTCCCGTCTCTCAAAAACTGGGCCATCCGTCCATGAGTGATCATCCTAGATCCACTTTTTAGCATCTTTAGAATGCCCGCAGGCATGGGGAATAACCTTCCCTAATATCCCTTTTCCGATCCTCACCAAGTCCCTTTTTGCCCATGGCCATGTTTGCCAACATTGCCACTGGATCAAAGCCCACAGGCCCGACCACTAAGTCTCACAGTCCTCTAGGACTTCCTCACCACCTGACTGTATCCTTGGTCACTACACTAAAGGATTACTCCTTTTCCTTTCCATAGTTTAGGCCTTTAGGACAACATTTCAGAATACTGTGGCCCTACGCAAACCTCATAGGTACTCTCCCTACCTTCCACCTTTGGGTGCTCTAGCCATGGGCTTAGAGCGAGGTTCTGTTGAGCCATGATGCTCCCAATCCAAGTGTGGGTGGCACTACCTACTTGGATACCTGGAGCATGAACCATTCAATTTCCCTGGGGAACTAAAGCTAGCTCTTGAACACTTCACCAAGCTACCCTGCTTGTCAGTCCGTATTCACTCTAGCTTTGGACTTCCTAGTGGTTATCCCATTACCCAACACCTGGGTACAGCCTTCCTAGGACAAATTGGTCTTTCTTGGCCAAACTAGCTCAGTTGAAACACTTCATACAAAAGGATTAGGAACAACTGATACCACCTACAAATCTACCAATGCCTCCTCTTAACGTTCCTCTAGATCCCAACCCATCTACAAGAGAACACTAGAGTCCTCCCCCTACTATACTTTTGGAGCTCACCAAACCCCCTAGGGTCTGGGAGACGAACACTTTGGGCTTTCACCCCCTCAAACTCAAACTCGAACTCGGACTCGGACTCGGACTTGGACTCGGACTTGGGCTTGGTCTTGGCCTCGGTCTCGGTCCTGGTCTTGACTTTGGACTCCATCTCGGGTCCTTCTCGGACTCCATCTCGGATTCCATCTCGGACTCCATCTCGGACTCCATCTCGGGTCCATCTCGGACTCCATCTCGGTCTCCATCTCGGGTCCATCTCGAACTCCATCTTGAACTCCATCTCGGACTCCATCTTGGACTCTATCTCGGCTCCATCTCGAACTCCATCTCGGGTCCATCTCGGACTCCATCTTGGTCCATCTCAGACTCCATCTCGGGTCCATCTCGTGTCCCTTTTCTAGAGACTCACTTATTGCTTGCTTTGTGCTTGTTCCTTGAGCACTTCGTTGGGAGTTCCACTCCCGCTCTCGGCCTTTCAAGTCGGAGCTTTTAGTCTAAACGTGTTACACTCGTTTGGCTTTCGCTTCGGCCATTACCACATGGCACCCTTTCGGCTCCACTTTGGGGCCTAGGGATTTTGTGTCTCACACTAACATTCTGTTGCTCATATAATGAGTTGTTAAAACCAAGTAGGACAAAGTAAGAGCTGGTACAATAGGTAGGAACTCTGAGAAAGGAACTTAACTAAGGCCAAAGTTGTGGTGGTCGGATAAACAAAATAAACTAACAAATTGAAAAGGAAAAATTTATAGCTTACAATTTAGTATTAGAGCATTTTCCTCAGTTCTAGTGAAGAATAAAGGTAGATTGCTAGAAGATGGGTAAGGTAGGGCATAAGAGAACCAAGGTGGAGATGGAACCTCCTCCAGAGCTAGAGTTTATGATTGAACAACAAGCTATGGATGAGGAATCCTTACATGAGGAAGACTCTAGTAAACAAACTTCCAAACAAGAGTCCAATGGTGAGGTTCGGTCATCCAAAGCTCGATTAAACA